ATAAAATTGATTTTATTAAAAAATGACTTGATCTCAAAAAAAAAAAAGAAAGAAAGAAAGAAAAAGTGTTCCCTTTCTCTATTTGCACAACAGCCTCTTGATCTAGGCAAAGGAGTTACAGGAGCACAACTAAGTGTTTTGGGATTTCCCCTTCTCCTCAATGTCAGCCATGCCTTGTTTTAATCCACACAAATGTCTTTGCATAGTCAATAAAGCATAACTACACATTCTTCCCATATTCTCTTTCACACAGGTTCCCTTTGGCATTAGCAAACATATCCCTGGTGCCACACCCCTTCCAAACCAGCCTTAACTTGTGGCAGTTCTCTCAATGGATTGTTCTAGTGTTTTAAAACTATTTTCAGCAGTATTTTGCTTGCATGTGAGATTAATAGTTTGATAATTTCCACATTCTGTTGGATCACCTTTCTTGGGAATGGGAATATGAATCTATTCCATTCAGCTAGGTCTTCCACATTTCCTAACCACAGACTGGTGAGTACATGCGGGCTACAGCTATTATTTGAAACATGTCACTGATATCCATTGTTTCCTGAGCCTTTAGTTTTTTGTCAATGCAGTCAGTACAGCTTGAACTTTTTCAGTCATTACCATTGGCTCTTGATCATATGGCACTTCCTGAAATACCTCAGTGTTGGCCAATTCTTCCTTTTGGTACAGTGACTCAATGTGACTTCCCTTCATTTTCTTTTGATGCTTCCTGGATAATTCAAGACTTTCCCCATAGCATCTTTCAGTATTGCAACTTGAGGCTTGAATTTGTTTTCCAGTTCTTTCAGCTTGAGAAATGCCAAGTGAGTTCTTCCCTTTTTATTCTCCAACTCCAGTTCTTTGAATATTCCACTAAAATTCTTTCTCTTCTCGAAGTGCTCTTTGAAATCTTCTGGTCATCTTTTACTTGATCTCTTTCTTTTGGCTTCTTGGTGTTCTGATGGAATTTTCAGAGCCTCTTCTAGCTCCCATTTTAATTTTTTTCCCCTTCCCTGCACCCCCCCCCCCTTCATGGGTGATATTTTTTAAAAAATATTTTATACTGGTTTACTTACACAGTTGGTGCATATATTATTTTTTACACTTAATCTTTTTCCATTTCCTTTACCTACCCTTCCCTCCACTCATCAAATTGTGTGACCTTATGATTACTCCCCTACCCATCCTCACCCCTGGGCTCCCCTCCACCCTCCATTGGATCCTCATATACGTTTTACTAGTTATCTCTCCATTTCTACAATAATAGTCTTATACAGTATTTGTCCTTATGGGACAGAGTTAGTTCACTTCACATAATATTCTCCAGTCCCTCCCAAGTTAGGCAGAGATTTTTGCGAATCATTCCTCCTACATGTTGCATAATATTCAGTCATATGAATGTACCAATAATTTCTCAATCCATTTGATTGCAGTTGGATATCTGGGCTGTTTCCATGTTCTTGTGATGGTGAACATTGGTGCACAAGTCTCCATTTGTGCCTCAGTTCTAATTTTCTCGCAGTATATTCCAAGTAGTGGACTAGTTCGGTCGTAAGGAATTTCCAAGTTCAGCTTTTTGAGGAAATGCCAAATTGTCTTCCACGTACCTAGAGTTTCTGCTATTCAAGGTGGAAATGTTTAAGCGTGGTTGTACCCTTTTACAATCCCACCAACAGTGTGTTGAGAGTCCTATCTCCCTACAATGGATGCTTTCTCTCCTTGACGTCACCTAGTCGTGGAACTACCGGGCCTGCTCTGCATTGATGGTGGTGACAGTGTGTATCTCTCTTTAAACATAAACGGAAATAAATCCAATGACAACAGACATGAGGGACCTCTGTGGTCATGGGTAAATTAACAGTCCCCTAAATTTGGATAAAAGTCAGCTTATTCCATAACCTTAAACAAATGATAATGGTTCTTCGATATCTCTTTCCAGAGTAACTTTTTATAAAGATTTTATAACTTATTACAGAACAATAGTTACTGTTAGAATGGAACTACCAAAGAAATAGTGAGTGACAAAAAGTAGTATTCAAGCATGCACATTTCCACCTTGAATGGCAGACACTCTAGGTAATATCTGGTACAAATTTTAAGTACCTGAAAAGACATTAATATTCAGATAATAGTATTAATATTCAGGTAATATTCAGGTAACAACATATTTAAAGGAAAGGGAAATTGCCCTCTCTTTTCAAAGCTTCTCACAGTGTTTTTTTTTTTCCATTTAATAGTCATATGGGCCATCAAACATGCAGAAATACTTAGTCCAAATTTTAGTTATGTGAATTTATAAAGCTAAATAAGCCACAAGGACCTACAGAAAAAACACTAATCTAGTTTACAATGTTTGAATTGATGTGACTTGTTGGGTGCTATCAAGTCAACTACAACTCCCTGCAACACTATAAACAGATATGAACCCTGCCGTCTTCATCGTCTCTGAAACACTTGAGCCCATCATTACAGATAGTGGCAATCCATCTGGTTGAAGGACTTTCTTTCATGACCTAGGGTTCTTCTGCCCTATCAACTTTTTTGAAGGTAACTTCATCTCACTAACTTTGGGCACATTGTCAGGAGGGTCCAATGCTTGGTAAAGGAGAGGCTCGCTGAGAGGTAAGAAGGCCCTCAATGACATGGACTGGCATCGTGCAGGCAACAATGGGTCCAATTGTAGCCACAACTGTGAGGATGACCCAGGACTGGAGAGTTTATTCTGTCGTACAAAGGGTCGCTATGAGGGAGATACAACACCTGAGAGTAAACAAGTACATATGTCCTGTTTTTTTTGAAATATTGTTTGAAATATATTCTTTCTTGATCTCAGAATACTACAGGCCGTAAAACCTCCAAGTTAAGACTGTTGATAAAATCTCATTTTTCAAAATATCTTTTAGGAAATTTTCATAAAATCTGCTTCTCTTTTGCAAAAATCTGTTTCTCTTTTGTAAAGTAAGACTTACTAACTTGGGAGCAGGAGTGGCATCCACCTCCTAAACCACATGTCTCTGGCAACTCTATGAACTTAAAAGAGAAATGACGATAGATATATAAAGGTTTCAGGTCTTTTGTTCCCAGGGTCGCTATGAGTCGTGCTCATCTCAACAGCAATCAACAAGAACAAGAATTGGAAAATACTATCTATATACAATCACTTACCACATGATTATGTTCCAAAGATCAGGTCATTACGTGAAATTGGCAGTATTTGAGTTGGGGTCTTGCTCTGTCTTTGGCACCAGTGCTTGCCTAGGACATTCCTGGCATGTCTTAAGATTCTTGGGGTGCAATGGGGCCTCCCTTCACCACTCTTTTGTCTACCAGAGCCCGTGGAAGTTAGAATGGTGGTGGTCAAGTATCCTACTTTCCAGCCCGGCCAAAAATATCATTCATCCTCCACTCGCTCATTCTCTGTGCACTCTGGCCCTGCAGTCTCACACAGCACCTTTTCTGCCTCCTCTCCCTGATCTGCCCTTAGCTTTCAAGACCTCATGTCATCCTGCCATAGCCCTGCATCTTCTATGCCTGTACAGAGACATCACAGACAAATGGAGAAAGTCACTTGTGGCGATCAGCTGCTATCCCTTGTTGGCCCAGCTGTCATGAAGGCCTCTGGTTCAGGGTGTCCTTGACCTGGCTGCTGCCCTGCAGAGGACCCAGATCTTCAGAACTGCCTGAGAATTTTTTTTCAAAATTGTTATAAAATGTCTGGTAACAAGATGGTCTGTTAAGTGAGGGGTCTGTTCACTAAGTTAGTGGCCCACCATCAGGTTTCTGAGACTAAATCTTTACAAGTCGTCACTACCTATCTTTCTTCCAGGAATTAGCTAGTGGATTTGAATTGTCAACCTTTTGGTTAGCAACTGGGCATGTTAAGCACAAAGCCACCAGAGATTCTATAAATGAGGTATGTTATTATATTATTGCTTGAGCTCTGGCTAGTGAATGGTAAGAAGTTGTACTGTAAACACAAAGGATACCAGCTTCTCTACATAAGGATGGGCCCATGCTATTTACTGCCTCTGAAAACCCATTGTAGGGCCTCTGAAAACAAGTGTGATTGCTTGCTGTCACAATGTGTGATAAGCTGGCTAGAATGATCACTGAGCTGTCAATACATGGGGCTTTCACCTCTGAACCCAGCGTGACTTTCAAACATACCAGTGTGAATTCCATGCTGATATCCCTAACAGACTCTCTCAGGTATTCATAGGGATCAGATAAATGTGCACTGCAGTTCCCATACTGTGCTATAATACTAGCCTGTAAAGTTTCATGACCATACTTTATATTTTCTCCTTTAAATTTTATAAGAACCACTGAGTTTAAATTTAACAGAACGGAGACAACAATGGAAATCAAGAGAAATGAAGACTTTATCACCTCAACTGGGTATTAAAACATTAAATTTAAATAGGACTTAACTTGACCAGGTCCAACTGAGAAAAAAAAAATTGTAAAACAAGAGAATGTATAGAATTCACTTCATTGGAAGTAAATAGTTGAAGACTTTATGTCTACAAATAGAAGCATTAATGGGAATTTCAGAAGATTTGAAGCTGTCTCCCACCTCTTGTAAATACTGTGATGATCTTCTATACTGCAGAGGGAGCCCCAATGGTGACACCTGTGAGGAGTTGGCTGCTAACCCAACGGTGGTGTCTCTGGTGGTGTGAACCTGTCAGCGGCTGTGAGAAGATAGGCAATCTCCTCCTGTGTGATTTACAGCCTGAAAAACATCTGCTGGAGGGTCAGCTATGAGTCAGCGTCAATTAAACGTCAGTGAGTGAGTATATTTTACAGAACTAATTTTCACTTACATTTTGATATATTTTAATATTGATAGAATATTAAAGAAGGTGACATTTGCTTCTGGAAATGGGGAGAAAATGGCCTAAGACCAACTTTCACATATTTACTGAATCTGTAGGATTAAAAAAAAAATTCCCTTAGCAGTTCACAAATGCAAACCAAGAAATTAAACACTAATCTACCACAAAAAGTGCTACACAAGAGACATTTATTAATGTTCTGTTGTATTTACAGTTTTAACATTGCAAACCAAGGTGAATTATCACTTGGCAGAAGCACATTCTACATTTATAACATCAGTTTCTGCTAACACATTGTAAAAGCAAGTTGTTACAGTATGTTAGGGATCATCTCAAAAATCGCAAACCAACTCTTTCTTTGCTCCTAGTACTGAATCCCCTCCTTACTCCCAGCCCTGGTCTAATCATCAAGGAGACAAAAGGAAAAAAGAAAATAAGGGCCATATAGATGCTATTCATACAGAAAGTGTCAAGAATTGCATTTTAGTAATTAAGTTGCATTTGCCCTTGTCTTTTCTCTTTTATACAGTGATAACACCTTTAGAATCCTTTAGGTACACATTACCGAACAACAAGGTATCGGAAAATTTAGAATACAGACTATGTAAAAAATGAATGCTTATTATTACCAATTAAGGACATATTCTGACCACACCTTAAATGTATTTTGCACAATGATTTTGCTTTGCAGTGTTCACACAGTACAACTGAATAAATTTCTAGATTAATTTTAACAGCAAATATGTATTATGTGCAGAAATGCAGTCATAACGAAAGTTTTAACTTTTGAGAAAATCCCTTTAAAATGACCAGCATTGTACATATCTTACACTAAAATATTTAATTCCAAATTCATTTTGAGATGGAGAATGAGTAAAGCAAGACTGCCCCCTACTGACTACAGGGACATGGCTCATGCTATTTAAAATGACTACAAACAATATATAAGGCATTATTAATACATCACAGACTTGATTGCGAGAGCTTTTTCAAACATTAACCACTAATGATTCAATGATTACAGAATTCTGCATTAACTATTAAAATTTTACACCTAGGAACAAATAGAGAGAAATGATCTTCTTCCACAGTACTTTATTTATTTTTGTAAAGCAGGTGATTACTCCTCTGTGATCTGCATCTTGATTCACTTCCTGCAGGTGTTCTCTTGCTTGAGAATTCATAAATGCAGGAAAGCCTTTGCCAGAAAACATCTGCCAGAGAAGGATATTGAAATTGAAGCTCAAGTTAGTTTGTTATTCTGGCTAAAAAAGAAGGATGTAATCACAAAAGGAGGCAGGATGTTTGGAGACACACGCAGTACATTGTACATAGTTTTCAGATTACTATACGTTGACATCACGGTATTCAATAAACACTAACATTGTAATTCTTCAGGTTATCAAGGTCTCCAGAGCTATTGAGAAAGGGAATATTTTCTCTAAATAGCCATGGAGTCAGGGATCTCCCACTCTTAACAGAAGTACAGACTAGAGGCAGCAGCACATTCTCACCTCACACAGAGACAACCCTGACTGCGAAGGCAGAAGGTCAGTGTCGAGAGATGGCAGAATCTACTCGCATGTGGAAGGAACTCTCCGAGTGCATCTGAAGCTACTGCTTACCCTGCCAAACCTGCTTGATCTCACACAGGGCAAGTTTTCCATGAGCATGACAATTATGACATCTAATAATTAGACATAGGGCAGGGCCAAGTTAAAAAGCAATGGTATGCTGATAGGTACCACAAGTAAGTGTCATGTTTCTGGGATTTTGTTGGCTTTTAATAATTAATGTATTTTGGAGGCATAGATCACTGGGGGGAAAAAGAGGCATAAATAGTCTCAAACTAAATTTAAGAAAAGATATAACTGAAACAAGGCCTTTTAAAATGGTGCCCCTTTTATTTTGCTATGTATCATTTTCATCTAATACTGAGGCATTTTTGTACTGGCATAATAAGTTATTTCTGGTTCTTACAGAAACAACCTGGGAACAACTCAACAGCAACTAAGAACAACAACTTTCTCTTCTCTCCAAATTACTTTAAGAGCCACAAGAAATCTATTTTCTCTATTTTTCCTGATTGTTCTGCTGCATAAGTCTTTAAGAGGTTGACAAAACAGAGAAGTTACAACACTACAGGAGATAAAAATTCCTTTTTAAAGTGCCAACACTTTCCCAACTCTAAGTTCAGCTATGTTTTGGTCTGAAGTAAACCACAGATAGAAAGGTAAATATTCTTTAGATAGAGAGACTTAAAGAGACTGAAAGGTTCAGAATGTACAGAAGCATCAGACATATAAGAAAATAAAAACTCTAAAAGTCAAGCAGAAGCAAAAAGAAAATTGATTATATAAAATGTAATTATTAGGTGCTGTGGCATATGACTCATCGCAACCCTCTGAACAAAAGATCTGAATCCTGTTCTATCCTGTACCAGCCTCACACTGCCTGACACACTAGAGCCCATCGTAGCAGTCACTGTGTCAATCTGTCTAGGGGTCTTCCTCTCCTTCGCCGACCCTCCATCCATTCCAACATCATGTTTCTCTCCAAGGAATAGCAGCTCCTAGCAATATGTCCACAGAATGTGAGGCAAAGCCTTCATTCTTGCCTCCAAAGAGCACTCCAGCTGCACCCTCTCCAAGACATATCTGTTTGTTCTTGTGGCCGTCCATGGGATGTTCAGTACTCTTTTCTAACACACAGCTCAAATGCCTCAAGTCTTTTTCTGTCATCCTTATTCACTGTCCAGGTCTCAGATGTATAGCAAGTGAATGGAAAGACTATTGCCTGAATCAAATGCACCTTAGTCGTCGTCAATCTGACATCATTACTCCTCAAATTTGGAGGTCCTACTCCTCAATAAATTTGGAGAGGTCCCTAACTGCAGATTTTCCCAGTGCAATGCATCTCCGAATTTCTGACTGCTAGTACTAATTAGGTCAGGCTTATTACAAATCTAGGTAACTTCAGTTTTATCATTTTCTGCTGTAAGGACACACAATACATCTAATCACTGGGTTCGTATTGCTTCTGTGTAGAAATGTTTCCTTTAAAAGGACCCTCAAAGGTGGAGCCTGTCATATGAAAAATCCATGAAATGTCCTAGATAAGTTACCACTGTGTAACTGAGATCACCCCACAAACAATAAATGACAGACTGACAGGGAAGCACTGCTCACTACGACCTGGGGGCTCTTTTGGGACAACCTGACACAGTGTTAGAAAAACACTGGTGGTGCATGCAGTGGGAGGTAATGTAAGCATTTGATGTCAAACGGGGAAAAAATGCAAATATTTGCTCCTTAACAGATATAGCTCATTAGGTCACTGCATCTACTTTCTACTTATAAAGGATCCTATGCTCTGATGGCCTAGTGGCAAGAAGCTGCAGTGCAATCCCAAAGGCATGGGGTTTGAGGCCATCAGCTGCTCTGTGGGAGATGGATTGGCAATCTCCATCCATGTGATTAACTGCCTCTGAATACTTGCTGGAGGGTCAGATATGGGTTAGTTCCGACTTGATAGTACACAACAGCAACAACAACATCTAGTTCGTGGGAGCTCTGGTGGCCAAATGGCGAAGAGCTGTATTGCCAACCTGAAGGCACAAGGCTCAAACCCACCAGCTACTCCTAGGAAGAAAGATGGGCAATCTCCTCTCATATGATTTACTGCCTTTGAAAACCACTGGAGAGTCAGCCAAGGTTTTCCAACACAATGGCACATAACAACAACATTAGTTCATAGGGAGTTCTGATGGCAGCAAGTTTTCAGAGGCACATGGGAGAATTGCTTATCTTTTCTCCCTCACAACAGCTAACAGATTCAAACCACGTGCCTCTGGGTTGGCAGAGGTTCCTTAACACTGTCTAAGTTTTTATTCCTGCTTTCTATAGGTGCACCCCTCTTGCTGATGTCATTATGTCCACCTCTTGGTTTTTGCCACGGCCTGGGGAGTCAGATGATGGATAAGCTTACTTTTGTTTACTTTCCCTGTTTTTAAAGAACACAGGTTCATTAAAAGAAGCCCTCTCTTTGATTTTACTGTATTTTGGTCAATGGAATCAAAAGGCTATTATTCTTACATCCTTTTTCTAACAAAATGCCAAATCTCAGCATAGCATGGAAATTTTATTTCTTTTCTATGTTGTGTAACATCAAGTCAGAACCAACCCTCTAGTGGGTTTAGAAACAGTTAATCACAGTGTGCATGACCAAAGGCATGGTACTGTCAATCACCCCATTACTGTGTGAAAGCCTGACAATAAACAAGACACTGGGAAGAACTGCTGCCTCCTGAACAGAGGTGTTGAAGAAAATGGAAAATACCATGGACTTCGAAAAGAACAAACTGATGTGTCTTGGAAGAAGTGCAGCAAGAATGCTTCTTAGAAGTGAGGATGCACCACAACAAGATAAAGGCAAACAGCCCAACTGCAAAATGGGCACAGGATATAAATGGACACTTCACCAAAGACGACATTCAGATGGTGAACAACACATGAAGAAATGTTCAAAATCCCTAGCTCTAAGAGAGATGCATATCAAAACAACTATGAGATATTGCCTCACACCAGGAAAAATAGAAAAATTTAACAGAACAGCAAGCAACAAATGCTGGCGAGGTTGTGGAGAAACTGGAACCCTTATTCACTGTTGGTGGGAGTGCAAAATGGTGCAACCACCGTGGAAGGCTGTATGGAGCTTTCTCAAAAGGTTGGAAATAGAGATACCATTTGACCCAGCAATTCCACTACTGGGAATATACACCAAAGAAACCAAAACCACCACCTAAGCAGATATATACACACCCATGTTTGTTGCTGCTTTGTTCATAATAGCAAAGAGTTGTAAGCAACCTAAGTGCCCATCAATAAACAAATGGCTAGAAAAGCTGTGGTATATTCACACAATGCAGCACGAAACAAGGAACTCATGAAATACTATACAAAATGGGTGACCCTGCAGGACGTTACGCTGAGTGAAACATCTCAGTCACAAAAGGACAAATACTGCATAGCACCACTGCTGTAAAGTGGACTGGGGTGGGGGAAGACTGTATAACAATGAATTAATTTTTTTTTCTAAAGAGAAAAGTGAACTGGAGGGGGGAGGGGGCAGGAAGGAAAATGTGCAACAATGAATGAAAGGAAATCCAAGTTCTCTATAAACTTTCATTAAAATCTCAATTTAAAAAAAACAAAAGTGAGGATGGTGAAACTTCACCTCACACCCTGTGGACATATTACCAGAAGAGGCCAATCCCTGGAGAAGTATATCATACTGCTAAAGTAAAGAGTCATCAAAAGAGAGGAAGACTCTCAATGAGATGGAATGACACAGTGGCTGCAACAATGGGCTTAAGCAGAGACCGTAAGGAAGGTCAAGGATTTGGCCGTGCTTTATTCTGTTGGGTAATACACAGCATTGCTGTAACATCTAACAACATCAATCTCCTCACTTGGATCCACAATCAACATCCTTAGCACCAACAGTCAGAAACTCAAAAGAAAACCTGCTATCAAAGACCGCTCCAGAGTACTAAAGAGCAACAACATCAGTCTAAAGGCTAAGGTGTGGCTGATCCAAGTTATGGTCTTTTCAATTACTTGCTATTCATCTGAAAGTTGTACAATAAATAAGAATGAAAGACGAATCAGTGCCTTTAAGCTATATTGTTGGAGAAGAGTACTGAATATTCCAGAGATTGCTAAGAAAATGACAAACAAGTATGTTTTGCAAAAGGTGCAGCCAGGATGCTCCTTGGTGGCAAAGACAGTGAAACTTTGCTTCATATACTTTATATACACTGCTTGGAAAAGGACATTATACTTAGACAGGTGAAGGGTCAGCAGGGAAGAGGGGAATACCTTCAATGAGAAGGACTGACATAGTGACTGTCGATGTGCTTGAGCGTAGGATAGCACAGGATAGGGCAAGGTTCAGATCCATCGTTAACAGGGTTGCTGTAAGTAACAGTCGATTTGATGACAACAACAACAACAGTAATACAGGAATATTAAGGAATCCAGGGTTTTCTTCCACCTGGATACTATTTGTTATCAACATATGAAAAAGATTCAAATTTCCTGCTAACTGAAGAACCAAGAGACTAGACAGAAGTATCATTTCAGTTTACTTATAAATTCAGAGCTATTATCAAACTAGACCTACAAACTCTTACTAAAAAACAAACAAATAAAAAGAAACTACCAGGATTATTTTAGGCACCAAGGGATTAGTAAGCCTGCAGGTGATTTCAGCATCCTTGTTAAAAAGAAATATTTGTGGCAACCCAAAAGAAAAACATTTGTCATTTCAGAGGTAAAAATTAAACCTAAGTCTAGCTATTGAGTTGAGAGTGAATCATAGCCGACCCTACAGCAGGTTTTCAGAGGATGTAAATCTCAGGGAGGTTACTGCCCATCTTTATCCCTTGGAGTCACTGTGGATTCGAACTGTCAGAGAGGCACTGCAGTGCCTGCCGACAGGGTTAGCAGTGCAGTTCCTGCTCTGCCAACCAGAGCTCTATAAGGCTAGGAAGTAAACATAATCAAATCAGACATGCAGAGAGAAAAAAAGACAATGATAACAGAATTAAAACTGTACAAAAATGGTTTCTAAGTTAGTAAATATGGATTGAACTGTGTAGGTGCATGCAATGATGTGGAAAATATGCAACGATCACCAATGATCTGATAAACCCTTCAGCTGTCAAAAGATTAAGGATGGAATGGAAAATCCCGAGTTCTATCAAAGTCCCTATCTCAAGAGGCAAGACATGTTTCCCTAGGGTGTGACCTATTGTACTTTTTATTTCACAAATGATAAAAGACGAGAAAGGTAAGCAGAAAAAGGAAAAGAACCTCTTTGCAGAACTACCAGGACACCGGTGCTACCAGGACAGAAGGGCTGGGCTAAAAGCACATCCTCTGAGACCCACGTTTCTGCACTAGGAAACTCTCCAAATCAGAAGACAAAAAGTCTTCCTGTAGGCATGAAAAAAAGACTTCAACAAGAGTCAGTATTTTTCAATCATTGCAATGCATCTGAAAGCTGAACAATGACTAAGGATGATAGAAGAACTATGCCTTTGAGTTGTTACTGGAGAAGAGTACTGAGTAGCCCACAGTCTGCCAAAAGAACAAACAACTCTGTCCTAGAGGAAGTGTAACCAGGGCGCTCCTTAGAGGCAAGGATGGTGAAACTTCATTTCATAGACTTTGAACATGTTGTCAGGAGAGACTAGTCCTTAGAAAAAGATACCATGCTGGGAAAGGTGGAGGGTTAGCAAAAGATCCATTGTTCATAAGGTTACTCTGTCATAGCTGACTCGATGGCACCTAACAACAAAGGCTAAAGCCAGAACCCTGAATTTGGACTTCTAGCCTCCTTGGAGTTGTCGTGGGTAGGGAAATGTGTGCCAACCCAAAGACAGGTGGTTTGAATCTACCAGCTGCTCTGTGGAAGAAAACTGGGCAATCTTCTTCCATGCAATTTGCAGCCTCTGGAAACGATGGAAAGCTGGCTATGAGCTGGTTCCAACTCAATGGATAGCAATGAGTTGAGTCGTTGAGCCTCCCCTAAACTGTAAGAAAATATGTTTGTTAACGTCATCCACTTGTGCTATCTGTTACAGGAGATAACTGAGACAAATATCCTAGATAGGGATCACGTGTGTTAAGGTAAAGGCGAGTGATAGCAAAAGTCATCTGTCACACATTTTAAAACACACAATAAAATTTATTCTTCTTAAAAAATCATAAACAGGAATAGGAGGACAACGCATGTGTCATTAATTGCCTCTGTGAAATACTGCTACCTTTGCCATAAGAGCAGAATAGAAGGGTTGTGAACAAGGACTAAAACCAGATACAGATCAAAAGGGGAGGGACCATAGAACATAATGTAAAAGTCCCATGGACATTAGACTTCCTAGAGCTATGGGAGACTGAAGAACTTCTGAAACTACAGCTCTGAGATAAACATTAAACCATAAAGCAAAAATATTCCCTGAGGTCTCCTTAAATCCAAACAATAGTTAGCAAAACATATGAAAAAAGGTCTGCCTTGAACATTATGCTCTTTTAAAAACTATTTACATGGGAGCAAATTGACAAACAGGAGCCTGAAAGACTAAACAGAAACCTTAGAGGGTAGTGAACTTAGGTTGAGGACAAACAACTCAGAAAAGGGGGATAAGAATGGTTCCACACTTGAATGCAATTAATCTTACAGAATTGTACATAAAGAAATAATTAAGCTGGTTATGTTTTGCTATGAATATTCTCAATAATAAAATAATAATAAATTAATAAAAAATTAAAAAATCAATTTTCAGAAAATTCTTAACATTTTCTAAAATGTTTAACATTTTCTTTCAAATAAACGTATATACTTGAAGAAATGGATTTTAAGCAAGATAAGCCTTTGTTCTTTGCATGCTTAAATTTTTTTACGAATGCCTAATGAACATGCAAAATAAGGCATGCTGGTTAACGCGTTCAGCCGCTAACTAAAAAGTTCAAACTCTCCAGAGCTCCTCTACAGAAAGATGAGGCTTCCACCAAGGTTTAGAGCCTATGAAACCCTGTGGCAGTTCTACCCTATCCTACAAGGTCCCTATGAATTGGAATCTACTTGATGGAAGAGTCTTTGGGGGCTTTGTTTTTGTAAATGAACATTATAATTCATGTATCTGAGTTTGCCTAGCATGACATAATCATACTAATGCTTAATACAATGTCTTATAGATGAAAATCATAACAAATGCTCTTAGTACTATGTCATGCATAAAAAAAAAATGTTTCTATTACATCTTTCCCACTTCATCCTATTTCCACCAGTTGAAACTGTACTTATTGTTTCAGGTTTGCGACACTTTCTATACTCCTCCAGGGCCCACCTTACCCAAGGAGCTCTGGTGGAATGGTCTGTAGGCAGTTGTGCTGCTAACCCAAAGGCCACACTCTCTTGTGGTTCGAATCCACCGGGGGCTCCATGGGAGAAAGATGGGCAATCTCCCATGCAATTCACAGCCTTGGAAATCGAAGGAAGGACCAGCTATGAGTCTTCGGTTGGGCAACGACGAAGTAAGCTTTGTCTGTGGCCTTCAACGAACTGGCCTCTAGGTGGTGCTCAGGCTCCACTCCACAATCCACTAGTCCCAGGCAAGTAACAAGACAGCCAAGGCCAAGGCAGCTAGTGAGGCCCCAAGATTTCCTGTCTCTTCTGTTCTGGGGCTACTTGTGTAAGATGGAGCCAATCTCTGGAAAAACTATATGTAAAAGAAAGTAAAGTTTTAGCACAACTTAGTCCATATTTTTAGGAAAAGGCCCACTTTTCCTCTGTCTTCTTACTTTCTTTGGAAGATGCCAGGGAAACCTCTGGCAAATGTCAAGAGATGGAAGCCCTGATCTTGTAATAACCAGGCAAAAGAAGAAGTTGCTGAAGTAGACACAGCCTAGCCTAGCTCTGGGGACTTGGGGACCTTAAAAATGATGGCAGAATTATTTGGCCCAAAGTGTTCCTTCTGAATATTATCCTCTTGAAATAGTCCCAGTAGTGAGCTGAAATTTTGAGATTTGGGATTAAAAATTCTTGTACAAACTACAAGGCTGAGTCCTCAATCAAACACCCTGGCTCCCTAATGACACAAAGACCTCTGCCTATTCAACATTGTCACACTGAGATTTTTTTGTTAAAACTGTTTTCTTAATTTATTGCAGATGTTGTTGTTTGGTGCAATCGAGTCAAGTCATAGTGACCCTATGAAGAAAAGATCTGAACCCTGTTCTATCCTGCACCATCCTCACACTTCCTGACACACAAGAGCCCATTGCAGTCATGGTATCAATCCACCTGGTTGAGGGTCTTCCTGTCCTCCATTGACCCTCCACCATTCCCAGCATCATATCCTTCTCCAAGAAATAGCCTCTCTTAGCAACATGTTTTAAATGTATGCGATAAAGCCTCGTCATCCTTGCCTCCAAAGAGATATAAACATCCTTATTAAAGAGAAGCTACAAAAAGGCAGAGGTTGCAGATTGCTTCTTCTCGATGTCTCCTATCACAGATCTTTACTTTAAATTAGTGCCAAAGTATCATTTGAGTAAAATTAAAAGCTAGCTTGAAAAGAATAGTAATGAAAGGCTCAGTATGAGGGCTTGTCCGAGCTGAGGAACAAGGCATGTACTCACAGCCTAAAGGAAAAACAAAGAGCTGCGATAGTATCACACTGTGTGCTGTCTCTGCAGGAGTAAAAACACTTCAGGAGACTGAAGAAGCTAAAATCATTTTAAGACCATTAAAACAACAATAAAATATTTTTAGAATACGAAAACATTATCCCATGATTCTACTAGTGTTAGACTAAAGCATCCGGCCCTTTTAATACCTTTAATAAATAAAGAGAACTCTGGTCCTGGGGAGATTTGAGAAGGTTTCTGGCATCTTCCGAACTTTTGCATAATTAATAAATCCTCTGAGAAACAGGAGAAAACCTAATTTTTTAAAAATAGGAAAAAAGAGAGAAAAGTCAAGACTGAATTTATAATTTCCTTGGTAAGTCTTCACCCCAGGAATATCCCTCTGGACAGTAATACTTTGCCATTTTCCTATCAAAAGTACAAAACACAAACGGTTTCTCTCAGAATTTCCAAAGGATTTTATAAGAAAAAAAAAATCTTCACATCTCAATGAAAAAACATATTCTTATAAATCAAACACACATTCAGAATCCAAGAGGTCTAAAATTAAATAAAATGCTAAAATAGCAGAAAAAAAATTCATGATTGGAAACTGCATTGTCTCCCAAAATGCACCTTCTGATTCTAGAAGAAAGTATCCAAAGATACTTAATTTCTTAAATACAATGGTTAATGGTTTGGCCAAATTTTTTTTTAAACTGCCTACAGTACACAGTGTTGTCCACTAGATGTCAGGATTCCCTTATCTAGTGTGTGATGCTCTTTGGTTACTTTGCCACATACTTCCCAGACAGTGAAGTGATAATGAGAATGATTTTATAATTATACCAGAATCAAGGTTGCAAAGATTAAGCTCTCAGCTGTGAACCAAACTCCTGATGGTTCAAATCCAAACTGGGAGAAAAACCCAGCAATGCATTCTGAGGACTATAGCCTAGAAACCCTCCCACAGGGTAGCCCCACTGTCACACAGGTCACAATGAGTAAGAAATGACTTGATGGCACTCAACAACATATGAGAACCTATTCTCACAGGTTTGGATCTCTTGGTAACAGCTGTGGGGTGAGGAGTAGTGTGGGAAGGTGCTGTGCCTCACACAGAAGTGTCTCTCACACTACTGGGTCCTTTCTCCTTCAGGTTTAGACAAATTTCAAAAACAGCTTTATTGAAATATCACACACCAGCAAGTTCATCTGTTTGAAGTGAATTAGTTTTTAAGTATAATTACACAACTGTGCAACTCTTCTAACTTCAGAACATTTTTATCAGCTCAAAAAGAAAACTCTTCACATTATATTAGTCACTCCCCTTGGCCCCGCTTCTCAGTTCTAGACAGGCACTCATCTGCTTTTTCTTGGATACATTTTCAAATATATTCAATGGTGGAAAAGTCTTTCTACTTACATAGTGAGACTGATTCATGGCGATAACCAAGAACTGAGCTGAGGGAACAGCGTTCAGTTTGGCATCATGAACAAGTGACTATAGAGCAGGGGTCACCCCCCTTAAGTATAGGGTAGTGAGGGGGCAGATACCTGTGAACTCAAAAGCACCCACAAAGAGTGACAAGCCATAATTGGGTTCCAGACAACAGCTGTCATGTGTGACTGGAGACCCAGTTTGCCAAGACATTTCCATGTTTAAGAAAATGTAAAAATCTACATTTTTTTTAAATAAAAATTGTTGATTTTTAAATGCTGACAACTAATTTTAAAAACTTTTCAAGTAATTAGGGGTAAAACAAAAGGTTGGATGTTGCCCATGAGCTGCTTAACTAGTGAGCTGTGCACAGAATCCCATTCTTGCAGGAGAAACATCAAAAAAATGGTTCTCTGCACAAGAAGAGGTCCTCATATGATCCTAACAATGGCAGCACTGGTAGAGAAGTGCTCTCAAAAGGTCCTGTCTCTCATTTACAAGTAAGCAGTAAGGAGCAATGGTGATAAATTATAAAGTCGTATATATATTCATCTCCCATGAAAGTTTTGTCTTTATATAATTTAAGTCCTATAACGTCCTTTTCCCATTTCTTACTATGGTTTAGATGAGAGTTTAGAGAGCAAATTAGTTTTTCATTGAGCAATTTATAAATAAACTGTTCAATGACTTTGAATACAATTCTGACATTATGTCAGCCTTCTCCCCAATCCCCTTGGGTCTCCGACTGCCATTAGCTCAGTTTTTCTTGCCTTTGTAGCACTGCCTTCAGGCCAATGTTGCCCTCTGGTCTCATATGGTTGACAGTATGACAGCATGTCCCTCATAGGTGTTACTGTCACCTCAGAGGCCTGGTCTTGGTTTCCCGGTGATCTCTGGGGGTGGGTCGGAAGTGTATCTAAGGGTCATAGTCTCAAAGTCTATCAAAATCTTAGTGTCTGTCAGATCAGTAAATCTGAGCTTTGCTTTTACATAATTCTGAGCTTTGTTCTATACTTTTCTCCCATCACCCAGGATCTTCTACTGTGATTCTAGTCAGATTGGTCAGGATTGGCAGGTGGGCACCACCTAGTCCTTCCCATCTCAGCTCTTTGAACTAATTATTTCCTTGGGTCTTCTATTTTCTTCACTCTGTTTTGCTTCAAATGGGAAGGGATTAACAGTTATATCTTAGATGGCTGTTCACAAGCTTTTAAGATCTCCATCATTATTCACCAAAGACAGAGAACACTTGTGTTTATAGACTGTTTTTTGTCAGTTGACCTAGATATCCTCTGAGACTATGGTCCCAAGGCCTCAAATCTTATGACTCAGTCCCTCAAATAATTCTTATCTTTGCTAGTTATAAACTACAGTGTCCCTTTGAACAAGATGGTGTCTTCTGCTGTCTGCTGACAGATTCAACTAAAGATGAGTCACACAGCCTCATGAGTCTAGTAACTTTAGTCAATTTAGGGCTAAGTTTATGAACACTTCAAGGCAAGAGGCCACAAGGGGAAACTGTAGTCACCATTACACCCACTGATCACATGGGGCTCTGAGACATATATATGAACAAGGTGGGGAAAATCTACCACCACTAAAAGATTCTGTGATAACATGTGTTACTCTGATGGTGACAACCACCTAATCTTTAGGATCTTTTAAAATTTTTGAAAAAGAAAGATTATTTTATCCTCCCAGTCTGTGTTTAAAGGACTTACCTAATACCAGAAACACCCACCAGAGCCAGTACTGGCCATCAAAATATCCAGGGAAATAGGTAGAAAACTGAAAAATAAGCGAAATATTTTACAGCAGCTTAATAGACACAATTTTACATTTTAACTTAAGGGCACACAAAACACAAGACTGCTGTGTATTCCAAAGTTGTCATTTAGCCATTGCAAAAATAAAGAATATATATGCAAGTACTTTATATATTACCAGTTGATTTTGCCATTGTTAAACTGACAAATGCAAATACATTCTTAATATGGAATCATCTTGAAATAATGATAGCTTTCAGCTTTATGAACTGTTTTATGAACTCTGTTTTGAACATGCATGAAGTTTGCTTTTTAAAAGATTTTTGGCTCACACAATATTACCCCCTCTAGAAAAGATGGTTTGATAGTTTACTTTGCTAACACTGAGTCAAAACTCTTTAGCTGCTCTTATTTCTGCCTTTCTAATGAGCCCTGATCAGTCCCTTTTCCTGCTGTCCTGTCTGGACCTTGAAAGCACTGCCATGTACAATCCCATTCCCCTGCAGAGGCTGTATGCATGGTGATATTCTGTCCAACAGGATCTTAGGGTTTCTAAGAAAAAGAGAAGAAACTGCTCCTTTGTTTATGCTGAACATTGTTGTGTTTCATAGAGACACGTGTCCTATAAGTACTAACAGGACAGCAGAAATGCCAGATGTCCCCAATGACATTACCAGACTTCCACCATATCTGAGTCTACAGCTGACTCAGAACTTGTATTTTTTCCTCATGATTTTCTAAGCCATCTTGCTTTCAGACAAAAGTACCCAAAGAGATAAGAATTGATTCATTCAAGTCAGTTTTAAAAATTAGTCACAATATGTAGCTTTGAGGTTTAAAAAATAAAAGACTGATAACTAATTTTATTTCTATTTTCTTTTGGAATACAAGAGTTTCACAATCTGGAAAGAGAAATGCAGTATGCTATTATTGCTACAGGAAAGTACAACTAAGATTTAGAGAAGGAATAAAAACTTTAAGGCCTTGGGCCTTAATCTGTGTTATAGAAATATATATTGTTCTGGGGAAAGTCTGTATATAATGTTCACTAGATTCACAAAGGAATCTGAGATTTAAAAAAAAATTAGCAATTGCTTTAGAATAAATAGAATAAAACTACTTTGAAAAACTCTGTAAGTCAATCAATACTAATTAATGAATTATGAATGTAAATTTAAAATACATAATTCTTTTAATGTAAAAAGTTAATAATCACCATCATCATCATCATATCTGGTATCACAGGACACACACTTAAGGACACTAGATCTTTATAACTTAAAATTATTTTATGTCATTTTCCTCTCTGATAATCCTCAAATCACAACATTTTTCTCATTTTCTTCAGGGTGAGGCCTCCTGATTTAACGGTAGCAATTAAACAGTGTGAGCCCTTAGAATATTTAGCAATGCCAAAATTATGGCATTGATGCTATTGACAACCAAACCTAGAGGAGAGGGATGAAAGAAGAGGGAAAAAGAGGGAAGAAGCAAGCTAGAGTAAAAGAAATTAGAGGAACATCTACTTTTGATTACATCCAAGGGGTGATAATGTTTTCTTTCATTTTAAAAACTCATTTAAGAACAAACATGTGTGATCATATTATGTGCATTGTTTTTTTAAAAAAAGGCAACTGGCAAGGGAGCTCTGGTGGCCTAGTGGCAAGAAGCTGCACTGCAGTCCCAGAGGTATGTGGTTCAAATCCACTAGATGTTCAGCTGGAGAAGAAGACAAAATTTCTTGTAGCAGTCAGAGCCAATTCGATGGTACACACACACACACAAATAATAAAATGTAAAAAAATAATAAAAAAAGGCAACTGGCAAACAACCTCTAGGAGATACATGCATGAATCAACAATATTCATCAGATTTGATTACAAAACCTGTGTATGTGAATGAAATAACTGAACAGCAACTAATTCCAGTTCAACTTCCATCATGAAACCAGAGCAAAACACCAAATCCCAAATTACATACAAACTGTAAAAATAATAAAAACCAAAATGAAGCAAAAACTCACACAACTTAAAAATCAAATACTTTTAAAAATCATTCAAAGTACTGTCTCTTTACAGAGTCTATCTTTCTGTGGTTACAACTTACCCTGACAATCAGGATCCACTTTATTAGAGAGAGACCAAATCCTGAAATGGCCCCATACCTTCCTGCAGCTGAGGTGGTTAGGCAAAAGGACAGGAAAAACCCAATCCAGTTAAAGAGGAATGCCACTGTAAAGACAGAGAAGGAAAATCCCCCATATTAGCTATGTCTTTTATCCAACTTGCAAAAAATACAAAATTCAAATCACTGATGTTGAGTTGGAATCAACTCATAACTGACCCTCCAGCAGGTTTCTGGGCTCCTATACATCATATAGGAAGGAGGAGAATGCCCATATTTCTCCTGAATAGCAGCTATGGATATGAATTAGTAGAGGCAATACCTCTGGATTAGGAGTACAAGTCTGTATGGACCATGCTACCAGTTGTTATTGTTGTTAAGTGTCATTGAGTCAACTACAACTCACAGAGACACTATGCACAGTGGATCGGAATCATGCCCCACTGTGTTAATCCATCTCGTTAAGGGTCTTCACCTCCTTCACTGACCGTCTACTTTTCCAAGTATGATGTTCTCTTCCAAGTTCTGGCCCCTTCTAACAACATGCCCAAAGTATGTCAGACAAAGTTTCACTGTCCTTGCCTCAAAGGTGCACCCTGGTTACATCTGTTCCAAGACATACTTGTTTGTCCTTTAGGTGTTCTTTCCCAGCACCATAACTCAAGCAAAGGCACCAATTTTTCTTCTGTCATCCTTATTCATTGTCCAACTTTTATCAGTTGCATACCAAGTAACTGAAAAGATCATGGCTTCAGTCAGGTGCACCTTAGTCATCAAACTTGCCTTGCAGCACTTTGGAGAGGTCTTTTTCAGGGCAATGTCTTTTGATTTCCTGGCTGCTGGTGTCATAGGTGTTGACTGTGCAGTCAAGCAAGACAAAGTTACTGACAATTTTATCTCTTCTCCATCTATCATGATGTTGCCTATGTGCCTAGTGGGTGAAGGTTTTGTTTTCTTCATGTAAAGATGTAACCCATATTGAAGGCTGTAGTCTTTGATTATCTCCATTAAGTGTTTCAAGTCCTCTTCACTTTTAACAAGCAAGGTGTGTCACACCTGCATAACGCAGGCTGCAGCTGAGTCTTCCTCCTATCCTAGAACCATTCTTTTTCATGTAGTCTAACTTCTTGAATGATTTATTCTGCATACATATTAAACAGGTATGAAGGAAAGATGTGGTCTTGATGCATACTTTTCTTGATTTTAAATCATGCAGTTTGCCCTTGCTCTGTTCGTACCAAAGCTTCTTGGTCAAAGTATAGGTTTTGCATGAGCACAATTAAGTGTTCTGGGATTTCCATTCTTCTCAATGTTAGCCATAATTTGTCCAGATGATTCACACAGTCAACAAAACACATATAGACATTCTTCTCGTATTCTCCAATTTCAGGAAAGATACACCTGACATCACCAGTGAAGTCCCTGGTGCCACAGATTCTTCTAAATCCATCCTGAATTCTGTCAATTTACGGTTCTAGCTGGTTTTCAATGATATTCAGAAAAATTTTACTTGCACATGAAACTGAAGATACTGTTTGGTACTTTCTAAATTTTCTTGGATCACGTTTTTGTGAATGGGAACAAATATTAATCTCCTCCAGTTGGTTGGTTGGGTAGCTGTTCTCCAAATTTCCTCGCATGGCTTGGTGAGCATTTCTGGGGCTGCATCTGTTTGTTGAAATATGCTAATTGGTACCCAATCAATTCTTTTGACAGTCATCAGAGCTCCTCTATGCCTTTCTACAAAATAAGAGATTAATATTCTCCTGTATTCCCCTAAAGCAAAAAACCATATATTTTTAATATGAAGCTTTACAATGGTTAAGTCTGCCGCTATTTCTACTTTTAAAAATCCCTTAAACATTCTAAAACTGTACATTTACTCATCTTTACTGTTTATGTGTTATACTTCAATAAACACTGCATACAATAAAACAGTGTCCCCAAATAATCTGATAGGCAAATAACTGATCCTCCTGTTTTATGAATTTTGACACAGCTTTTTAACTTCACCTCTAAAACCACTGCATGTTCATAGAAGAAACCATTTCATCATTTTAATATAGCAAATAAAAGAAAAATTTTCCACTTCTAAGTTATTCATGTTAAAAAATAAATCAAGATGAAGAATATCAGGCAGACTTTAATATAAGTCTTTAAGTGTTTAATATGTTATAAAAATTTAATAAGTGTTCATTATGTTATAAGATGTTTGCAGATAAAATTTATCAGATAAAAGTACTAAGTTCTAATTTGACAAATGAGGTATGAGTACAAGCAATATTAATGGTTCTGTAAATATTCAAAAGGCTTATTAGCTCATGTAAAATGAAGCATTCTCCATAACGATATCTGTCATAAATATTCAGAGAAATAGAGAAGATGAAGGATATTAAGATAAAAGTGTGCTTAATTAAGAGTAAACATTCCAGAAAAAGGTACCAAATGATACAATAATGTACTAGTTATTTTAACACAGTTACTTATAACTTAACAGGAAGAAGGATTAGCCAACCACTTCTGAAATAACAGGATTCTAAAAACTGTATATATATTAGAGCACACTTAGATATGGCACCTGAGGCTGAGCCCTTGATTTAGTAAACACAGAGGAGGAGGAACAGTTGTAAGGTAATGGATTGACACAGTAACTGAGATAATGGGGGTAGGTGTGTCAGAGTCAGTGAGACAGGCTCAGGAATGGCAGGGTTCAGAGATACTGTACACGGATAGTGTTGCTATGAGTCGTAAGTGACTTGATGACACATAACAACAACACAACTCATAATCCAAAGCACTCTAGTCTGTGATAGGGCGACTCTGCTATGTGTATGTACTTACTGAAAAATGTTAACATGAAAATTCCATCATTTCCTATCCTCAGCTGGTCAGCATCATCAAAATCATCTCGGCCCACAAAATCCTCATCCTACAGAAAGAAAAAGGATAAGGTGAATTCAGAACCAGTTATTTCCAGCAAAGAAAAGACATAAGGAAATGGGCGAAAGACTGAGAAAATTTATTGCTCTGGTTCAATTAAAAACTATGATCATTAAAGACACAGTATGCACTAAAAATTTCATTCTACCTTAACAGATATAATAACAAACAAATCTTTCTTCTATCCCCACAGTTATCTAGACAAACAGCACTTTTCCAATAATTTCTTTAACAACAGACTTTTAACATAAAAAAAAAAAACTAAAAAAGAACTATATTCTTTATTTGTGTGAATAAAGACAAGGAAAAAAGGAAAGGTAAATTTTATTTAGACATTTGGCTTAAATTCTAGACTATTAGTATACCAGAACCTATATCAAGAGGACAAAACTAAAAAAAAAAAAAAAAAAGAGGATAAAACTGATGAGCCCAAATACATTCTGAGATGTATGTGGGAAAAGGGTAGCTTGAGCAGACAGTGTACAGGGCTGCCCGCTGCTCATCTCCAAAAGTAGGTGTTTCTACCAGCAGAGAGAATCTTTTCCATCCTTCCATCCTAATTTGAGAATATAAATTCAAAGTATAGGAGGAATACAATCCTGACACCAACTTATGTAGCCTACCTTTTTAACAGTGGTAAGGATTTATTATTGAGATAGTAAAAATAACTGAATATACACTTAAAAGGAAAGATGAAAACTTAGACATAGCCCGAGTACTTCTCAAACATCTATTACATACACACACATTTATTTTTATTTTTTTAAATATTT